CAGGCACCAGTTCACTGTCCGAACCGGTCGGCTGTCTGACCTGGGAATAGGAGCAGTGGACGACAGAGCTAGAGAGTCCGTCTACGCGCGCCCCACGCACGACCCGGTCCCCATACGCACACACACAAGGGGGACAGAAAGCTCAGACGTCCCACACACACACAGAAATTGGAAGCCGCCTGGAGAAATGAGTTAAATGGCACACTCCTCACCTACGTGAGAGGTGCCGGTGATGTGTGGGACTTTGGAGAAATGTTCGCGTGCTGAATGTATTGGCGGGGAATGTGTGTAAACCAGGGTGTGCGGAATGGAACGCCAAGGTGCGGGCTCGGCCCCGCCATCCACCTGTGCCCTCCCGTACCTCCGGTCTTCTTGACTCTGTCTTAACACCAAGTCCAGTTGGCGAATTGGGAGGAGAGAGTGCGGCAAATGCCGTGTAAGTCTACGCGAATCGCCGTCCCTGTTCTCACCTTGCAGTAGATCTAATGCAAACTATATGGTATGCACGACATTTTTTCAGGTTACGCATTTGTTAAGATTCTCATTCCCAATCACTTTATTTTCAATGCCCACTACTAGTATCTTTGTGCTGAACCACATGGTAGATGCTTGGAAATTACTTTCTGCCAACCCTGCAAACATATTAGTAAGGGTCAGTAGCAGTATTTAAAGGAATACCGAAAACATACCATGCACGCCAGTCAAGCCAAAAATACTAAACGGATGACAGTTTCCAAAAGGAATGCAGTGAGTGATTGACCACGTGGAATGTTGGCTGAAATTCTGAAAGGCGTTTTTGATCATGAAAGAATACTTAGGTGGTGATGTAATACTGATTAGCATGCAACATACTCCTATGGCATTTCGGACTGCTCAGGAGGTCGGCTTGTGAAAGGTACTTCTATTCGACCTCCAATTAAGCAGTCATTTTTGCCGAGTGTGGTTTCTGCAGAGGGTCGGAAGGAAGTGCATTCAAAAACCGACATCCTGGCGAGTACGAACTATTCTAGGATTAATCCTCACGATAAACAATATTACAACCCTACCTGTGTAATCCTTCCTAATCGAAAACGCATGCTGGAATTTCGGCTAGCATTTCATGAGATCGGTCACGCACCGTATGAACGTAATTCTCCCCTTTAAATAAACTATCAGAAAGTGACCATCTAATGATGCCAAATTAGCCAAAAATTACAATTCAATCGTCATAGCCCACCTTTTTGTGTCTATGGGCGATAGGAGTTCATTGCCTTTGCTGGGGTTCCTACTATTGCACAGATGTGACATCTGCACTGGCGTTTCGAAAATGACGTATTTTTTAAGAATTCCATTCGCAATTTCTCTACCACAAGTAAGTTAAAACACTATCCTAGTGACTTCTAGTACTTTCAGCGTCTGTGAATGATAAATGTGGAATCCTCAAAAAGATGCGAATTCTGCAATCCACGAGAATGATTCGAGAGAATAGGGGCTAATCGTGCACAGGAATCACTCCGCAACATGCACTAACTGACAGACAACGCTGTGCATGTCGACAGTACTGCCTGTGATCGCAATGGCATCGGGGCCATGCATCACTTCAATCGGTGACAATATCCCAACAGTTGCTCCAGCTAATATTGATTTTGTAAGCAGAATAGCATTACCGACAAAGGCAAGAGAGGCTAGAAAGGAAATTTCTTGCTTACTGGCGGGCATCAGCCAGCAATATCAAAGCACGATGTGTGGAACACCTGGGGTTCGATGCCGCGACCTGTTGGCTAGAAGTCCAACAACCAGTGATCCAGGGGCTCGCTGTCCTGCCATCTGCGATCGGGTACATTACCATTGACAGAGGGGTGCGCACCCATCGCGTTATGGAATTCACTTGTCACGTTGTTCTTTGGGGATCTCTCTTGAGCCCGCCAGCAGCCGTACAGCTGCCGGCTACCCACAGTGAATCCACAGGACACATATTTATTTCTGCTTTTATAATGCCTCCGAGCTCTAAACGCCTCCTTCTTGTATGATTGTAGCCTCCAATAGACAGCCCCACCATACGGTTACTCAGAGTGAGCACTTCGGTTTGTCCACCGGAAAGAATTAACGCTTCTGACCGCGAACACAACCACGATCTCGTTGTCATTGTGAAATCAGCCGTGTACAACTTCGAGGACAGACAAAACTTTCACAGACTCTACGCCCATCTGAGAAATGCGAGCAGCGATAAACGACCTTACCGTATAGGAATAGTGTTCGTGGTGGGCCTGCCCACAATCGCAAGCAGCAATTTCTTCCAACGTGATGGTTTCAACATCTCACTGCCCGGTCGCGCCGGCAACTCGCTTGTCAACATTGGAAACCGCCGCGCCCAGTTTCGAACTCGACTGGAGAAGAAGATGCGTGAACACGATGATCTCATCGTGGGCGACTTCGAGGACACCTATTACAATCTGTCCCTGAAGATGCGTCACACCTTCGTGTGGGCGGCCAGGTTCTGTCGCGAACGCCCTGCTTTCATGTTCCTCGACGACGACTTTGGTTTCAATGAGAAACGTCTCCAGGCCGTTCTGTCCAGTCTGCCGGTGGATTGACGGCGCAGAGTTTCCATTTCGATTACTCACTGGAATAGTCCCACCGTGCGTCCTACCGATTCTGCTGCATATCGGAAGTGGGCACTGTCGAAGCGGGAGGTTCCGTGGCCAGTGCATGCGCCCTATAGCAACGGTTACTTTTACATGCTTGGTTACGATCACGTGGCGGATCTGGCGTTGGTCATGTCCTTCACCAAGAGCATTCCCATTGACGATGTCTGGTTGGGTCTGGTGATGCATAGGATTGGCCTCCATTTCAACTTACCAACTGGGATCACCAGCTCCATGAAGCATCAAGCCAATGTCAGCGGGTATATTGTTTTACCCCTTAATTCCCTCCTCACTGCATCGACGCAAGAGCAACTTTAGGACAGATCGATTGAGCAAAATTGATAGTAGTCATGACAACCAGGGAAAAACACCTTCCAGAAACCCTAAAAACGAAGTCTGCATGTCCTTGTGGTAACTTTACCATTTTTTGGACTATTTTTGTACATCATCGCGTGCGATTTTTGGTCGTCGAAATGGTGTTTGTAACTGATTGCGTAAAACCCTGAACATTCCCTTAAGTCAGCTCCGTTTTGCTAAACCGTTTATGTTTGTATTTTGCAAAAAAATGATCATTCGTCGATGAATTGGACGATGTATTTCTCGGTGCTGTGCGAAACGAAGGCGAATCCAATAAAACAACGCCTAGCCCCTGCTGTGCGTCCGCAGTCCGGACACAATATATATGCTTATATAAAGATGAATTTCTTTGAGAAATTAAAAAAAACTCGTCTTCAGACTATGGGTGTACAAAAACAAAGAACTTCTAGACTTAGCCTAACATAGGATCCCATGACTTGACTAAAGTCTGTATCAATGCGTGTTAGTTGCAATTTCCCACCTCCAGGGAATTTGCTGGTCCAGTCTGAATCCGTGCTTAGAGATCTTGTGCGTGTTATTTAGATCAAACTGGGGACCTAGTCTCAAACATCTACACAATAAAATTTCCAGTTTCTTAAAAAATTCCGGCCTCCTAATTAGATTTCTTTGAATGCCTGTTTTGAATTGATACATACATATGGTAGAGGGGTGTTTACAGATTGTTTTTTACGGAACTCACTCTTCCCGTTGTGTCTTAGGGCTTTCTATCGAGCCCAACCAGCGGCCGCATTGCGGAGCATGATAAACGATCGTGTCCCAATTCAGGGCTTGGCGTGACTGCCTAACGATGGCAAATGAGCCCGAAATAGTAATTCCCGTCTCCATGTTTTTGTTGGTGATGTTAATCTGCCTTTATATATATGTAGTAGGTGTGCTAACTCATAAAATGTTAACCGAAATTCTGAAAGTCTTTTCGACTCGAAAATATACTTAAGTGTGATCGTAATATTAATTGCCGTATCGGCTTTTGAAAGAACTTCTTTTCGGCCGCCAGCAAAAATTGCACTCGGTAAAAACTTATAACTCCTAATATATTTTTTTAGAAAATATACACATAAATATTCATTGTATTTGTTTTGTGGAAAATTACATTTTATTCAAATTTCATACTGTAATGAAGGTTTTAATTCGCTTTTAAAAAATGTCTCCAATTTCCGAATAATTTCGAACTTGTCATGCGGTTACATTTGCACTCGAGGTTTCAAAACTACAAGCTGTATATTTTTCGTGTACGGATAATCACTCATTGATCTACGGTTCCAAGAATAGACCGTATAAATTTGTCAGTGAACTTGAGCCATATTGTAAACTGTACAAGCAATATTAATAAATGGAGAGACACAATGTTTTATGAACAGGCATTTTGTGGTCCTAGATAACCTCATAGACAGAAACCGTTTTAAAGACCGAATTGTAGCCCTCCGTCAAGTATGAAATTTGTAGGTGTAATTTTCTACTAAAAGAGGGAAGGAATGAATATTATCATGCATGTTTCCTACGAAATGTATTTGAATTTATAGGGGCATTGAAAATCAATGAGAAATATCCACACCAATTAAGTAGTCTTTTTTACAGAAGTGTAGTTTTTGCTGGTAGCCAGATAGAAGTTCGTACAAAAGCCGGTAGCGCAAAGTAGCCGGAATACCTTGAGATTGTGCTATATAGTAATGAGTATAACAATCCTACTTAAGTCATCTTTTTGAGTCAAAAAGGCATTTCACAATTTCGATCAACATTTCATGTGTTGGCTCATCTAATGTATGTGATCGATGTTCTGAAAATTGTTTACTGCTGACCTTACAGCGTGCTCTTAAGTGTTGTTGCTTATAATTAAGCTGTGGGGAGGGCGCGGGCGAACAATTATGACAGTGACAGTGAGCCAGTTTGCCGATCTGAACTGCTACCTGGAACTCGCCTGTTCGCTTCTATCATCAATTGGCCTCCTTGTCGGCGGGAGCCCGTGCGACATCTCCATAGATGAGTCGTTATGGTAGCTGCTCATTGTCCATCCGCATAAGGTGGCCGTTCCAACGCAGTTGCAGATGTCTCAGCATGGCAGAGATGCTGAAGATTTCCGTCCACTCCAGTACATCCGTGTCCGAGATCCGGGCCGGCCACTTCAGCCACAATACCCATCGTGGGCTGCTGAGATGGAAATGGTTCATTCTGCGCGCCGGGGCGTTCGTAACGGCAGGCGTCTGTCAGCATGACAGAGCACATAAGGCTGAAGTTGGCGGGTGCGAGGATGCGGCCCCGTTTCACTCCCTTGGTCACTGCGAACGCCTCTGAGGTGTCTCCATTGTCCGTGACTCGTGCCATCATGACGTCGTGGAACTGACACAACATCTGCGTGGATCGTTCGGGGCAGTCAAATTTCTGCACGATTTTCCACAATCCTTCCCGATGCACGGTATCGAAAACTTTCGTCAGATCCATGAATTTAGAGTACAAGTATATCCGCATCTACTGGCACACCTCTTGAATTTGGTGGGCGGTGAAGATCATGTCCGTGGTCCCACGATGACGGCAAAAGCCGCACAGGCTTTCCGGCAGAAGACCCTCTTTTCAATGATTATTCAGACGGTTGAGAATAATGCGAGCAAAAATTTTGCCGGCGACGTTCAGCAAGGAGATGCCTCGGTGGTTGTCGCAGAGTTGGCGGTTTCCTGTTCATTTGTATTAATACAGAAGTGTTGCATACTTGAAATCCTGCAAGACCTCTCCTTGACGCCACACCACTTGGAAGAGCGCCGTCAACTATTCACGAGTTGGGGGCCACTGTGCTTGTAGACCTCAGCAGGGATAGCGTCCGATCCGAATGCTTTTCCGCTGGAGAGCTGCGGTACGGTCCGGTGATTTCGTGTAGAGAGAGGGCGGGCGGCCGAGATCCAATTTGGTCACCACTTGCGACAAACAGGCGATGGCAACATCGGAGATGGTGGCGGGGCAATTGAGGACGCCACGGAAGGGCTCAACCCATCGCTGTAGGATCGGTGTCTGCTCAGTCAGGAGGCTACTGCCGTCGGCGCTGAAGAGGGGAGTGCTGTCTTTCTTCGGTGGACCGTAGACAGTTTTGATCGCGGCAAAGAAATTCTTCCATTCGTTACGTCCGCGTATCCTTGAATCTCCTCGGCTGTGCGAGCTGTCCAGGCATCCTGCATCTCGCGGTGCCGCTGTTGCACAATGCGGCTACTACGGTAGAAGGCTGGTTTGCTGTCGTCAGTAGGGTCGTCGACGTAAACTTTCTGCAGAAGATACTTCTCGACCAGCAGATTGCTGATGTTAGTGGTCCTGATGTTGGCGATGTGCGCGACCGAGGACAGCAGTCGACTGGACTGTGTTCCAAAGTTGACACCATCGGTTCTTCGCGGCGGCTTCAGCGACTGGAAGGTTGACTAGCCGGTGAGCTGATTTGTCGCTGAAATTGAGAAAGTGAGCAGACAATGACAATAACGCAGTATTCAGTTTACTCGGAAGTCGCTTACCCTGAGGTCTCCTGCCTGACAGTAGGCGAATCTTCATTTGAGAGAGGATGAGGATCGGTCCAGCCGTCGGCACATGGAATCGCCTTTGTCACCAGGACCTCCGGCTGGTCTCGCCTCCGGACGAGGACATAGTCCAGCAGGTGCCATTGGCGCAACCGAGGATGCATCCAAGTGGCCTTCTTTCCCATCGGCGGGCGGAAGAAGGCGTTTGTCAGGATGAGTCTGTGTTCTGCGCAGGTTCGTAGAATGAGCAGGACCCAGCACTTATTTCCAGACACCATAGTCTGTGCTGACGCTGGCAATGAAGTCACCAAGAACAACCAATTTATCCGTCTTCGGCACGGTCGCCAGGAGTGCGTGCAGGTCTACGTGGAATGTGTCCCTTGCCGCGTCGAGGCCGGTCATCGGCAGAGCGTAGGCGCTGATTATGGTGGCGAATTTGTCCCCCCCCCGAGAGGCCTGACGGAGACTCGTCAGGAAATTGTTTATGCTATGCGGCGCACAGATACCTGGGAAGTACGCAGATTCTTGTAGAAGTTGTCTCTTTCGGCGTCAAGTCCGTTCATCGAGGAGCGAAGACGTTGATAATGGTGGCGAATTTAACTCCCCGAAGAGGCGGACGGAGGCGCATAACGTAATCGTTTATGTCCCGTGGCAGACAGGACAGTCCTCCTCCCCACGATGTCATTCCGAATGGCAAAGGCGACACACGCGTCTCGTCGTTTTTCCTTGTGTCGACCGCTCCAGAAGTAGATGTGGCAACGATCGGATGAAGGCTCCCAAATAAACGGCGCCAGTCAAAGGTGCCTGTCTTACAGGAAAGATGGTAATATGGCTTTTACATGAGGAGGCCTATGTATGCTTATGCGTCGCAGGCACTGAACTCTAGTTAATCTTGTTCGGATAAACGGGTCTCGCCGATTGCAAAGATGTCCACCTTATAGCGATACACTTTCTGCACATTCAGTAGAAAATGACGTCTTCTTCCAATTTTTTATTTGAAGGAAGGGTATAATTTGGTTTTTTAGAACTTTTCCAATTCCGGAATAATTTTGAACCCCACCTGCCGTTACACTTGCATTCATGGTTCCCAATCCACAAGCCTTATATTTTCCGCGTACGGAAAACCATACTTTCCTCTACGGTATTAAGAGGAGACTATATGGGGTTCATAAAATTAATCAGTAGTTTTGAGTCACATTGTTAACTTTACAAGCCACGTTGGTAAATCCAGAGACATGACGTTTCATGGAGAACCATTTCACGGGCATTGAAAAACCTCACAATTAAAAACTATTTAAAAGCGAAATTATACCCTTCCATAGAGTATAAAATTAGAAAAAGACATAATTTTCTACCGAATGAGCAGAAGAATGAATATTTTCATGCATGTTTTCCATGAGATATAATTGAATCTTTAGGGACACCGAAAATCACTGAAAAAAATGCATGCTACATATGTAGTCATTTTTTACAGAGCATGGTTTTAGATGCAGCCGGAATGAAGTTTGTTCGAAAGACGGCGTCCTGCGGCAGCCGAATTATTATACTGTACGATGATTGGTTCCCCAACCATACTTAATTAATCCTTTTGAAACGGAAAAGAATTTCGGAGTGTCTGTTGACATTTCATGAGTTCACCCACATACTGTAGAGCCCCGCTGTCACAGCTCCATCTGTGACAATCTCGCGCAAGTCAGGATTGCTTTATGCGTAATGCCTCTCAGTCGGTAGCTGATTGGTTACCCGGTCTTTGCGGGGTGATGGCGCAGACAAATGGAGGGATGCCTATCATCATTCTGGGCCTAAAGGTTTGTTGCAGTCTGCTCTGCCAGGATGAGTAAACCATGACCCTCAAGGCCTGATGTTCGATGGCGGTTCTGCGGCACGTGTTTCCCTGACGGTAGATGCACTCGTGCCGCAGCTGGGTATACAAGTCGTGAGCAAGGCCGGCCAGATGCGGTGCTGTTGTTGTTGCTGTTGTTGTTGGTCAAAACCCTGGTCATATATTCGTTACGAACCAGCGGGTATGCTGGTACACCTAGGTGCGAGCGCGGCCGTGTCAGCCACCTGCTCCCTCCCTCACCGTCGGTTTTCTTGACTATGTCTTGGCACCGGGTCCAGGCGGAGCAGGAGGAGAGAGTGCGATGGATGCAGTGCAAGTCTACTGTCATTGTAAAGGAAATCAGGAACGGGTCACCCTTGAGCAGATGATAGACATCGTCGGTCGGGTTGGAGGTGTGTCAAGCTGTGGGGTCATGTGATGGCCGCAGTAGGTCACTCACAGACTCGAAGGTGCTGACTACGCTTAGTGTTCATTGACAGGCATCCAACTCTCACGCGTGGCTTCCCGAAGCTAGCAGCCACATCCTTGCATACGCCTCAGCCGTCGGGCTAAACCAGGTGACGTTATCCCTGTGTTTATCTCCACACACGGTAATTCTACCTCCCCACCAGCCAGGTCACGGGCGTGTGTTTCTGTGATACGACAGATTATCTGTGTTGTCTCTACGACTAAGGAGTGGCACACCGAGGCACATGTTCGGCCGCGGCAGCTACCTGCCTCCTTCCTCAACTCCTCGCAATCGGTGGAAGATGGCTGATGACGGCTCTCCACCGGAAGCGAAAACGCGGGGAGGGGGATTTGTAGAGCATACACGAGAAGCGCGATGGTCCAAATCACGTAATGCGGCCACTCAAAAAAAGACATGGTATGCGTCTGGACATTTAAATAATACCGAATTTGAAGGAAGACGGCTTGTGCATGATTTAGCCTGTGGCGATAGCGGACTTGCATAGCATCAATCTCACACGCTGCTCCTCTCCGCAAAATTCTTAAATGTGAAAAATTCTCGACCTTACTGTCAGACTACTCATCTCGGTGATCCATCCTTTCTTATCGACTTCCCTAAGTACGCTGTCATAAACCTGCTGAAGTTCGTTTCAGAAGCAGCCAATCAGACGGTCATCGGAGATTTCAGCATCCTTCATCGTTCATATTACTTGCGCACTTGAAAACGCATTGTACTTTGAATAGAGAAAACCCCTGCGAGTATTGCATGCAGCCCTCAACCTAATGCCAATTTCGGACGTTTGGTGGAGCTAGCGAGCTGGCTTGATTTCTCATGTGCATCTAAGCAGCTACATTAGGACTTAACGACAGATCATCAAAGGCAACTTGAGTTAGCAGCTAGTGGGAATACTTGCCGGGAACTTCTGTTTGCACTTCGACTTGTTACATAAACAAAACTTGTTCCAATTCTGATTGGCTAGGTTGTTACCGCCGGTAGGCATCCTTCAGCATATTTTGTATCACTCAGAATCCAATAAAACCCCTGTATAAATCACGTGCGTTCCATTTTGTGAACTAAGAAGAGGCTATATCGTGATGACTGGATGCGTGCGGTCTCATCGTACGTGGATCCTCGTTTTAGCATTAATAGGAATAACGAGGATACTCTGTCATGTTTTCTTCACAAACGAATGGGTAGCAAACGCTGTTGAAACAGTGAAAATTCGAGTTTCATTAGTAATATGCAATCTTCGCTGGATTAGTAGCAGTGAAATGACACAGGACGGCACCTACGACCTGAGTGTCCGTTATTGTGTAGATTCGCACCTGCCAGTAACCAGATACGACACACTTCCGCTCGATCTAATCAGCAGGACTGGTGGAGGTCGGAATATTACCTTTGCAGGGATGGCCCAAGTAAACGATACTGACTGGAAAAGGCCAATTAATCCGGACGCCTTCCTGCTATATCCGCAGGGTTTTGCTCTGTGTGACATCATTCGGAATTACCGGGAGACTGGCTTAGTTCCAGAGGTAAGCACAGGTTCACTGTCAAATTAATGTTTGTTTTATTGCCTCTAGAGTACCTAGTGCTAATTGGGTCTGCATCACATTTCGTTACCTGGCACGCTGTTTTGGTCTTAAGTTCAAGCGCATGTGGGAATTGAAAGTACGATAAGCCGAAGAGGGATACTGAAACCTTTAGAGGGGAAAGTAGCCGAGGCTGAAACTGAGTAGGCAACCTGATGCATGATAAATTTGTCGCGAGATTGAAGTAAACCCAGAATTTCCGCAGAAGGCAGGAATCATGGGGCAACAATACCCATGGTCTCAAAAGAAAACCTAATCCTCAATTTAATTATAAACCTAACTCTAAGCCTAATCCTAAACCTACCACAAACCGTTAAAAGCAGCACAAAACTTAACCTTAAATTCAATTCTCAGTCTTACACAAACCCAAACCCTAAAATTAACCATAACTTTAAACCGAAACATCAGATTGCTTTTTTCCGTTTTAGCTTTAGCTACTTTTCCACCCACGATTTCAGCATCCTTCTTCGCCTTATTTTACTTTCAATGAACGCACTGTGCACACACTTGGTACCAGGACAGCGTAACCGATCATTGTCTGTCCCCTGAAACGCAGAGTAGTCAACATTGATGTCCTTCACTCCTCGGTTTTTGTCTGTGACCTTGTTTGATCTCTTGCACAGTCAGACGCTCTGCCCTCGTATTGATCCCCCAACTTCTCTCAAGACACCAGGCTTCATAATATTTGTTTGATAGGGACCGCATCTCTCTCTCGCTTAGCCTTCGATGCAGAGCGCATATCGATCGTCTGCACGTGAGCACTTCTCACGATTCCTTCCACTTTGATCCAATCAGCGAGATGCGCTATGCACAGCACTCTGTCGCACAAATAACCCTGACGTCACAGCCAGTCGGAGAAGATTGGGTTTTACTTGTCAAGGTCTAACTCCTCCCATCTTATGCGCTATCGCCGTGCAGACCGGTATTGATGAATTTCGTTGTTTTGTATGCCGGAGCATATTCCCTTTGCTGTTGACAGCGCAAAACAGTAGAAGTATGCAGTTCCTCAAGTTCAGTGTGCACACCTTAGTCAGCAGTTGACAAGCACCCAAAGAAAATCTTATGGCAAATGCTAGGCCAGAAGATGGTCAGCCGATAATTACTCAATTCAGAATTCAGGTAAATATTTAAGTATTAGGATCCATGCAAAATATATGCATACGTTTCAGGACAGTTGGTTGATTGAGATTTTGAACTTTGGAAATGCAATTAACATGACGAAACCCTTTGATAACTGATAGAATTCTGGGCACTTAAGGATTTTTCTTGTGATTTCAACGACATCGGGATCTGACACCTTACAAAGAACACTTTCAGTATCCTCAATTTGCTTCCTTTTGTTTAAACTAATGCGATGACACAGAATTCATTCGAAGTATACTTTGTGTTGTCTCCGCGGCAAAGTTGTTCTTTATGCATCCAAAACCCTCTTGTACGTTTGCAGCCTCCAGTCAACAGCCCCAGCATGCGGTTTCTCTAAGTGAGCACTTCGGTTTGTCCACCAGAGCTAGATGACGTCGCTGACAACAAATACAACCACGACCTCGTCGTCATTGTGAAATCAGCCGTCTACAACTTTGATGACAGACAAGCCTTTCGCAGATTCTACGCCCACCTGAGAAAGGAGAACAGCGTTAATCCACCCTATCGCATAGGAGTAGTGTTCGTGGTGGGCCTGCCCACAAGCACAAGCAGCAATTCATTCCAACGCGATGGTTTCAACATCTCACTGCCCGGTCGCGCCGGCAACTCGCTCGTCAACATTGGAAACCGCCGCGCCCAGATTCGAAGTCGCCTACAGCAGGAGATGCGTGAACACGATGATCTCATCGTGTGCGACTTCGAGGACACCTACTACAATCTGTCTCTGAAGATGCATCACACATTCGTGTGGGCGGCCAGGTTCTGTCGCGAACGTCCTGCCTTCATGTTCCTCGACGACGACATTGGTTTTAATGAGAAGCGCCTGCAGGCTGTGCTGGCCACTCTGCCGGCTGATTGGCGGCGCACGGTTTCAATTTCGAGTACTCGCTGGAATAGTAACACAGTGCGTCCCACGGACACTACGGCCGTCCGAAAATGGGCACTGTCGAAACGGGAGATTCCGTGGCCAGTGCATGCGCCCTACAGCAATGGATACTTCTACATGCTTGGTTACGATCACGTGGCGGATCTGGCTTTGGCTATGTTCTACACCAAGCGCATTCCCATTGACGATGCGTGGTTGGGTCTGGTGATGCATAGGATCGGTCTTCAGTTCGAGTTGCCAGCTGGGATCGTGTACTCGTTGAAACATCAGGAAAATGTCACCGGCTATATCGCCTTGCCCCTCCAATCTCTCCGCAGCACATCTGTATGGTGAGAGGAAAATTTGTATTCACGACAGCCAGTGTATTTTCTTCATTTGTCACTCATCCGTCAAATGCATGCCAGGGATTTTACTGGTAATTTGCCATATCGTGTGATAATTTAATGCGAATTGTCTGAACTTTCGTATGTTATCTTGGGCTTCGTCCGAGTTAATTCCGCTTCTTTCGGACTTGCATATGCTTCATTACATGAAATAAATCGGCTGAGCCGGTCGTGGCATCAGGGCTGTGATCAGCTGTGGCGACCGTGTGGGTGGTGGTGGTATTGGTGGTGGTAGTGGTGGTGGTGGTGGTTGTGGTGGTGGTGGTGGTGGTGGTGCCCGTGGTGCCCGTGGTGCCCGTGGTGCCCGTGGTGGTGCGCGTGATGGTCAGTGCAGTGAGGATTGGTGGAGGAATAGCGATGGAAGCGTTTTTGAAAGCAGGAAATGGAGTTGTCGTTTTCGTGTTCCATTGGGTCCGGATATATCCGAGGAGGCGGAACCGTGCACCCGTAGGTTTGTCCACATCATGGGCAGGCTGGTCGGGGGGGGTTATTTTGTGGGCGCTTGAGACTTGTTGGTAGTTCTTATGTCCTTGGCGGCGCTGATTCGGTTATCTTCGTAGACTGCTCCTTCAGGCTTCTCTGTTATTCCCCTGTAAGCCACTTCGTGGTCGATTTTGGTGTTGCACCATACTGATGCGAGGGCCGCGTGTGCATGGCAACTGTTCATCCCGAATTTTGAGCAGCCTGATTTGAAGACACTCGTGGAGTATTGCATATCCATCTCTGTCGCGTTGTTGAACGTGAAATCGCCTGTGAATAGCAGATGGTGGGCAGTAGTCGTGGAGAGAATGAGAGGCTGGCCGTCGATCCTGTGAACCAAGACACTGCTAACAGGTTCAATAGTTGAAGGCAGGCACCAAACATTGAACACTGAACATTCCACCGTAAATCAGAGCAGGACTTTTGTGGACGCAGCTACACGCCGACATACCTATGGAATTAAAACGTAATGGAGCCGCCTGGAAATAAGATTACATAAAGACGGTTCTGTGTCAGGCCGAGCTGTCTGGGCCCACATCGAGGAGATGCAATATCGTCTGTGGTTTGGACTTAACATCGCCAGCCTAAAACCAGCACGGGAAACCTTCCTGTTCCGCATGACATAACTGTAGCCCGTGAAGCAGCCAAACTGTTGACAAGCCAGATGGAACTGGTTCACAGCAGCCAATTCTCTCAGCGCGGTGGCTTAGTGGTTATGGACGTTCGACTTCCAGTTAACAGGTTGCGGTATCGAGTCCCAGGTGTTCCACACTTCAGGGTTGCGTGTGACAGACTGACGACGGTTAATAAGCCAGAAATGGCCATTCCAGTCTGCCTTGTCTCTTTCGGCAATGCCATTATGCCTATATCATGCGCCCATGCGCGGCTGCTGGTTTGGCTCGAGAGAAAGCCCGTAAGGCACAACGGGACGAGTGAGTTACTTAGAAACATTCGGTGAGCACCCCTTTACCAATCACAAAATACTCAGCCTTTGATATGCCGTTGACTGCGGACAAAACGTTGATATGAAATTCAACACGTCCGGGTGAGGAGCACAATAATGAGCTCATATACGCATTCCTGCAGGGAATGGCTCTCGGGGCGACTGTTTTCAATGTTTACAGCACAGGCCGGTGAAACAGGTACACCAGGTCTAAGTGGTACACGGGATAAAGTAACCTAACAACACCTACTTATGTAATGACAGTAGCCACTCTTGTATACTATTATACCTGTCCGGGTACAACTTATAATCTTACCCTCTCTAAAATTGTGAAAGTAGGCGAGTGGGAATGTGAGCATAACTGCCGGATGTAGGGAGAAAGAGAGTGCAGAACACCCTCATTTGGTTTAGCCTGCCAATTAGGCGTCAACCAGGATGGGGCCGCTAAGCAGAGCCTAGTTTTGGGGACCACAAAGGCGGGTTTGGTACCCGTTGAGGGCCGTATAGTGTAGTCACCAGTTTCATGATACGACCCATCGCACCTGCACGGTTTACCTCCTATTCCGACACGTCTCCACCCAACCTAGCCGTTATAACCGAATTTGGCGACCCACAAATACGATAGAATGAGAACAGATATCTAGTCGAAGTTAGTAGCAAGGGATGATCGCATTTTTAGTCATGTTCCCGCATCCGACTGGCGTATTAGTAAACCCGACTCTGTGTGCACTCCATCTCCGCGGCACTTCAGTGCATTCCTTATTGCAATAAATCTGACGCGTTTTAAAACCGTCGAGATGCGCTAGGTGTTGTGACGTGAAGGGCTGCAAACTGAGGAGAAATCTCAGTCCTTGTGGCCGGTGCTATGAGTTTATGTCGGGTCACTGATTGATAGACCGGGAGCAATTCTTGATGGGTTCCTATCGTGTGGCCTATAATTCAGTCCCACTCAGGGGACTTCGCAATCACTCCACTTGTTCAGCAAAAATCGGAACGTATGAGGCACGGTTAATAGGACTGTTTAGATTTTGATGATGATGATGATGATGATGATGATGATGATGATGATGATGATGATGATGATGAAGATGATGATGATGATGATGATGACGATGATGACGACGACGACGACGACGATGATGATGATGATGATGATGATGATGATGATGATGATGATGATGATGATGATGATGATGATGATGATGATGATGATGATGATGATGATGATGATGATGATGATGATGATGATGAACATCAGTTCGAGTTCGGAAGCTAAGGCCAATAAATATACCGTCCCAGTGATCGTGTCTTCGTCTTCCTTTAAAGTAGACGGACTGTTAAGATTTCAGAAAATCAGATTGGAAAGGAGAAATATGCTTTATTTTTAAATTATTATTTCAAATGTTTAGCAAACATTTCTCCATTCCCGTTGCTAGAATATAAATAAACAAATGATGATAGGAAAAATGTGTTTGCATAAAAACCGTACAATTATAATGCGGCCAGTCCTATTCCCAGCTTCGGCATTTCGGTCTGTCTATATGTTAGGTATTGCGTCAGAGGTGGTAAAACCGGACGTCGATGTGTCAACGCACGACGCTAACTCAAACTGATGGAAGGTTGAATTAACGTTAGAATGCGGAGGAGGCTGTAATTGGTCGGCGGACTTTGAATCAAATCCAGTAGATTTTTGGGGACTGCAGCGGGTCTTACGGCCTGCCAAGCATCAGACATCCTTCATTTCACGAGCAGTATGTTAAGAAGATGTGCTGACTGAGAAGAACGATATTTGAGGTGATTTTGTGGTGGAATATTCGACCCGTCTTCTGTTCATTCACGGACCTCTTGAAGATGTTTCTACACTGGTGTCACAGTCACTAGTGAGAAGACACACAGTGATGACGAAACATCGTTTGAGGGAAGGTTGGACTCATTGGGAGTAAGGATTAAAACTTTGTTTAAATTTTCGTCTTATTTGGGGTCAAAATGAGTAAACATGCTTTGTTTTCCAGTGATGCCAGAAGAGGAAAGAGGAAAAGAACGGGTCAACAAAGTAAAAAAAGACTAAATAACAGACAGATCGTTCAGTCTGGCAATCTTTCTTTTTAGTAGGACCTTAACGTTTTTTAGACTGTCACGTAGGCTAGGCTTGCAGGGAAGTTACTTTTGGTGAGTTTAATACTTGAGGTTTGCGGAAGAAATTATCTTAGGCCTTAACCACAAGAGATTTGAGCGGACAAAGCATACTATGAATCTCATTTAAGCGCATTCCAAGGCACCTGGCGAGAATGGTATTAATTGCAGGAATCCGAAGCAGAAAAGTACTCTTTGGTTAAGTGTTGTGAATCATTTTGCCCTGTCAGATCCGGTTGTCAACGCGCACTTAGAAGTGGAGTAAATTTTCGGAAGGCCTAATAGGACAGACTGGCCTGATCAAAAGAGCAGAGGTCCATTTTGAACATGAAAAAAGATGAAGCAGGTAATTAAAATGTGACTGAAAGGAACGCTAGTCGGATATTGAGGGAAAAAGGTCGGCAAAGCCCAAAAGTGTAAGGAGGGCACAAGGCGACTCAGCCAAAATCGCCACATAAGAGAAGACGATGCTCACAAGACCATAAAACAATTTTCTTGCGAAAGAAAGCCATATAGCCTGGTTGCGCCACCTTCACGGGTAGAGAGCGAGTATAAATGCTAACAAATATGCTGAATTTAAAGATTATTTAGCAAACGGAGCTGGCATGCAACTGCAAGTATGAAAACAGGAGCTTATAGCTTCGCACCAGCGTTGTTTGGGGAAAATATCCAGCGTTTTTCTTAAATATTTTCACATTTCTTGATGGAAACGTAAAAGTGGTAGCAGGGAAGGATGGTAAATACAGCGTATTAGCCACAAAGTGCAACTGTTAGCATCGCGGACAGTCGTCTGTGAATCGGTGGAGAATTTGCGCAAGCATTTAGTCCTTTCAAAATGTTGCCAACTCCCTACACAGATGACTACTTGACTGCAATTCAGGTAAATAAACCTACGGAAAATATCAGTATATTTCGTGTTAGACGTGCAGATACGAAGCCCCCCATCTGAATAGGGACCATAATTAAGTGCGGCTTAAATTCAAAAGCCCACCGATTCCCGATCATTGCGTCCGAATCAACCTCGGGTAGTCCTGACCGTGCATCTCCAAGGGGTGGGCGAAGGAGGAGTTAGCGTGACGGGTGCTGCGCAAGTCACTGTCCTGCGGCCTCCACGCCCTGGGACACGCGGTGGGCATCGTCGTTGGCAGTCGTCGAACTGACAGGTCTATTTAAACACCGCACGCCATTCGGTTGCAGTCGACTGATACTCGGGTTAGTCATTTCAACTCGGACATCTTCCAGCGACAAATCATTTGCAGAAAACGGGGCTTCCACTTCAGGGCATCAGATCACATCAGATTTATTAAGGGAATGTAGGCCTTTGAAGTCCCTTTTGGTTACCATAAGGTCATAAAAAAACAAGTGACAAAGAAAAGTAGGTAAGTTATTAAATAAAGCATGCATTGTTTACTGGTATAAATTTGTCTGCGAATGCCTTCTATGCCAAAATTGTACAATAATCAGTACGCGTTTCTGAATGGACCAAGTAATATCGAAGCTAGCGCATATGCTGCGGTCAGGAAATAGCAAAAAATGTAAAACGTAATGTTATTAAAATATAGGGAGTAGCATGATTTGTCACATAAACCGTTGGGCGGGCGGGTGGTACGGGGGGGGGAAATTTGTTAGTTTCTGATGCTGTGGAGGTACATATCACTGTACTGGTCAGGCTTCCTCTTAAATGGTTCCATGGATGAGGACATGACGACGTCCACAGGCAGGGAATTCCATGCCTTTACCACTCTGGGGCTGAAGAAGGACGTCCTTGCGTCCAGTCTGGTCCATGTCACACGTAGTTTTAGAGGATGTCCTCTCAAGCTAGTAGTGGTGGCCAGCTCAAAGAAGTCGTCGGATGCGAGGCAGCAATCCTGACCCCGAAGCATTCGAAACGTTTGAAGTAAGTCGCCACGTAGTTGTCTGTAGTCCAGTGGAAAGAGGTTAAGATTTGACAGTCTAGTTTCGTAAGGTAGGTTTTTATGACATCTGACAAGCTTGGTCGTCCGTCGTTAGACTTTTTCGAGGGTGGTACGATCCTTGACAGTCCAGAGTCTCCAGGCCTGAATGGCAAATTCTAACTGTGGACGCACAACCATCCCATAGACCTTGCGAGAGCACTTTACTTCGAACTTCGCAAATGCCCGCTTGATGAGATATAAGCTGGACATTGCGGATTTCGCTGATTTCAAGCAGTGGAATGATGGCTTTAGTGAAGATGTTATCCAAACACCTCGACCCTTTGAACCTCTACCATTGGCATCGGTGTGTGATTTAGATAGTGCGTCCTCCGTTGCACAGAGCTTGGCCTGCCAATCCTCAGAATGTTGCATTTTGCAACGTTAAATGGGAAGAGCCAGTGGCCTGACCAATGTTCGAGTTGGTCTAAGTTTGCCTGTAGTATGATGACGGCCGAACTAGCCTACTGGCCCACAGGTAGATGTGCTGAACCGGCATAGGGGCCTGATCGATGTCTGTCAGATGCTAGTGGAAATAAACAATCATAACAAATATCAATAATGGGGGAGTGCTGGCATGCACAGCTGTGGGATCACGCCTAGCTATTCATGATCCAGATTGCCCTCACCTTTTTCTTGCTGCATATAATCCTGGTGTCTGTACGTTCTGAATCAGGTGATGTGGTAATACACCTAAGTGCGGGTGTTCGCCGAGTCAGCTTCTCTCGCTTCCGTTCTACCAACCAATAGGTGCACATCCAGACTGATTGACTAATATCGGCATTGCTATTGGTTCTTTTCTCCAAAATCAATGCGAGCACTGCCCGAAGCATTAGGCTGCAGTCCATCACGTTCACCTAACGATGCATCTGAAAGCTTGGACAGCGACTGTCCCCTCTTACTCAAACCGTCTTCCGTCCGCCTGTCAAGCATGTCAATTACCGCATGCGCGCCGTATGACTCGAAATTGGGTTGCCCGACACTGACGCCGATCGATATTTATACCTTCCCTGATTAAACGCAGCCGCACAAGGTTCAGGTACGAACACACACACACACAACAGTTCGACCGTCGATTTCCACGATGTCCACCGTGTGCCCCACAGCTGCAGCAGCGGTGGGAGCAGGGACAGTGACTTACGCAGGGGTTTATTGTGCTAGTAGACTTGCGTAGCATATACCTACACTCTCTCCTCCTCCCCCGCCTGAGCCCGGTGTCAAGACAGAGTCAAGAAGACCGGAGACGGGGGAGGCCGCAGGTGGATGGCTCGGACGAATCCTCACCTTGGCGTTGAGAGTGCCATACGGCCACATTAAAAAGGAGCCATTGCAGCCTGACTCTCAGACCACCACCAGTCACGGTTTTTTGTGTGTGACATCTGGATCGAGTTGGGGAACCAGTCTCGAAAATCTTCACAATAAAATTACCAGTTTACCAAGGAATTCCATCTTCCTAATTAAATTTGTTGGGATGCCTGTTGTTCAGTTCATAAATTTATATGGTAGATTCGCGCTCATCGATCTTTTTTTACGGAACTCGCTCGTCCCGTTGTGCCTCAGGGCTTTCTATCGAGCCCAACCATCGGCCGCACTGCTGAGCATGATATAGGTCAAGTCCCAGGCGTACCACACTTCAGGGTTGGGTGTGACTGCCTGACGACGGCTAATGAGCCAGAAATGACCATTCCAGTCATCATTTCTTTGTTTGTAATGTTATTCCGCCCATATATATATAATGTTAGCGGACGCTCACCCATCGAAAACCGACAGGGCAACGGGCTCGTGGCCCGGTGGGTAGAGGCGTGGACTTCTAAACCAACAGGTCGCGAGTTCGAGGCTCGGGTGTTCCACACTTCGGGCTTGGGTATGGCTGGCTGACGACGGCTAATAAGCCAGAAATGGCCATTCCAGTCTCCCTTGTCTTCGCCGGTAATACCATTATGCCTCTATATATATATAGTAGGTGTCCTAACTCATGAAATGTTAACCGAAATTCCGAAAGCCTTTTCGACTCGAAAAGATACTTTGTTTCATCAAACACGAATACACTTCAGCCTTCAAATAACTCTGAAAATGCGAGTCGATCGCAGGACTACGAATTCTGACGCCTCGTTCTCATAGGCTTGCGGTGTTTTCTTGTTTTTACGACCTTTGTGAGATGGGGTTAGCAGCATGAATATAAGTGAGCAGA